AAACTGGAAATAGCTTTAAGTGACATGTGTGCACATGTTTATGGCTTCTTGTATTTGTGCTGTTACCTGAGTGTCTGTAAATGAGCTTAAACCAGGATTTGGATGGTCGATACAGCATTTACGATCGCGGAGGTTCTGTCCCTCTCAGTATAGTGCTGAGAAAAAAGAACTTGGCAAATGATGTTTCCTGTTCTGGCCTCCAGCAGTAGAAGGAAGTGGCCTTTGAAGTGCTGCATGCAGCCAAGCAACTCACAACTAAACAGGCAGCAGGAGGAAACCTGCTCTCCAATACTCAGAAAAGACAAACTGCACACAGCTGTTTACCACACAACATCCCTTTTCAAACCTCAGCAAAGCTAAACAGTTTTGGCAATGATTCTTTTTTTCAAGGAGCATGTAAGCATGTTTATTTAAGCATAATTGAAACACTTTATTTAGCAACTGGTTCCCAATTCATTTTAACATCTTACATTTTCTTGTGTATAACTAGATGTAACCTAATTTTAAAAGCAACTTGAAAATACAATATATTCTACATTAGCTTCTTTCCTTTCCATCCATCCTTGAATAGTTCTTTAAGTTACTTTTGGACATTGTAATCCCTCAAATTTCCAAAGGTTCAATGGCTTCTTGCTTTGATTTTTTGTGTATGCATATTTCTAGTCATTATACCATTTCTGCAGGTTTAAATAACTGCCTTGCATTCTTTATTTTTTCATGTAACCTCCATTTCTACTGAAGTGAAAATTTATCCCTAACACACCCAGGAACACCTGGCCAGGCTTGCACAACCTGTGACCGCAAATATGATCCGTTTTCTAGGCTATGACCTGTGGGCAATATTGTTTCGCTTACAACAATCACATCGCCGTGTGAACTAAATGTTGTGGGGGTTATGATGAGAGACAGTGGTCAGATGAACCTATTAAAGACTTTAGATGGCTTTGTATAGAAGAGGATGGTAAGAAGATCCAGGAGACCAAGACACTGACCCTGAAGGGGAGTCTGTTTTAGGGCGAATAAATCACTACTGCAGTACCTGTGCTGGAAGAGATCTCTGACCAAGAAGATAAAATTACTTTACTATATATATATATATGACATGTTTGTTCCAGCATATATGTAGGACCCTTGGATAGATTTATCCTTGACATACAGAGAAATATGGATGTTTAAAACGCCAATATCTAAGATAAATAAAGAAAATGCCATTTAATGCATCAGCAATAGTAATAAAATTCATGCAGACATTATTTCATTTATGAAATGTGATAAACTTATAATTTTATTTCGTTTTTTTGCATTTGGTTAGTCTGTATTGATTCCCTCTTTTTAATTTGACCTGTTTTTTCATGCTTTGATTTGTTTTTTATTTTTTATGCATATGTTTTTGTAATATTTAACCTTGAAGTTACCCAAATTATTGTATTTTATTTTTGCATTTAATTGTGTTGTTGTTGTCGGTTTCAAGTCTTTGCATATATGTTGACTGAATCATTGAGCCAAAATATATGCAAAATAGATTTAAGGTATTTTCACTTCTTTACCTGGTGGCAAACAAAAAAGCCAAAGCCATTATCTTCATCTCTCCAAAACCTTGTTGAACTAATGCAATAACATATCGGTTATGTATTTCTGATCGTGACAATTCTGCTCTTCAGTCATTACATTAGGTTTCACTAGCTTAACAGTACACAAATATTCCTGGGGTCTAGCGGGATCTTAAATATAGATTTCATGCATGTTTAGTGCTTCTGGAACATAATAAACTTTATTTCTTCACTTAGACCCTAATAATGAGGGATATGTCCAGTTGTTAAATATGCTTTCTTAGTTAACAATGTTTTGTCTCTTTTAACACTTCTAAATCCTACAATATGAGTACAATTTGCTCTTGGAATGATTTGAATTACTGGGACACTGGCGGCATTTGTAATTGTGAGCATTTTTCTTATTTTTCTACAGCTACTCTTAGTACCATTGATGTTAAGTTAGACTCTTTTTCTCTAATTGATCTTTCTGAGTTAACTTCAATAATTACTTCCTCCAAGCCATCAACGTGTCTTTTAGACCCCATTCCTACAAAACTGCTTAAAGAAGTCCTGCCATTAATTAATTCTTCGATCTTAAATATGATCAACCTATCTCTAATGATCGGCTATGTACCACAGGCCTTCAAGCTAGCTGTAGTTAAACCTTTACTCAAAAAGCCATCTCTAGACCCAGCAGTCTTAGCTAATTATAGGCCAATCTCCAACCTTCCTTTCATATCAAAAATCCTTGAAAGAGTAGTTGTCAAACAGCTAACTGATCATCTGCAGAGGAATGGTTTATTTGAAGAGTTTCAGTCAGGTTTCAGAGCTCATCACAGCACAGAAACAGCTTTAGTGAAGGTTACAAATGATCTTCTTATGGCCTCTGACAGTGGACTCATTCGATACTGTCGACCATAATATCCTATTAGAGCGATTAGAACATGCTGTAGGTATTACAGGTACTGCACTGCAGTGGTTTGTATCATATCTATCTAATAGACTCCAGTTTGTGCATGTAAATGGAGAGTCCTCTTCACACACTGAGGTTAATTATGGAGTTCCACAGGGTTCAGTGCTAGGACCAATTCTGTTTACATTATACATGCTTCCCTTAGGCAGCATCATTAGAAGACATAGCATACATTTTCACTGCTATGCAGATGACACCCAGCTCTATCTGTCCATGAAGCCAGATAACACACACCAATTAGTTAAACTGCAGGAATGTCTTAAAGACATAAAGACCTGGATGGCCGCTAACTTTCTGCTTCTTAATTCAGATAAAACTGAGGTTATTGTACTCGGCCCTGAAACGCTTAGAAATATGGTGTCTAACCAGATTCTTACTCTGGATGGCATTACCTTGGCCTCCAGTAACACTGTGAGGAACCTTGGAGTCATTTTTGACCAGGACATGTCCTTCAATGCACATATTAAACAAATATGTAAGACTGCGTTCTTCCATTTGCGCAACATCTCTAAAATTAGAAATATCCTGTCTCAGAGTGACGCTGAAAAACTAGTTCATGCATTTATTACTTCCAGGCTGGACTACTGTAATTCATTATTATCAGGATGTCCAAAAAACTCGCTGAAAAGCCTTCAGCTAATCCAAAATGCTCCAGCAAGAATCCTGAGAGGGACGAGAAAGAGAGAGCATATTTCTCCTGTTTTGGCTTCCCTTCATTGGCTTCCTGTTAAATCCAGAATTGAATTCAAAACCCTGCTCCTCACATACAAGGTCTTAAATAATCAGGCCCCATCTTATCTTAATGACCTTGTAGTACCATATCACCCTATTAGAGCACTTCGCTCTCGCTCTGCAGGCCTACTTGTTGTTCCTAGAGTATTTAAAAGTAGAATGGGAGGCAGAGCCTTCAGTTTTCAGGCCCCTCTTCTGTGGAACCAGCTTCCAGTTTGGATTCGGGAGACAGACACTATCTCTACTTTTAAGATTAGGCTTAAAACTTTCCTTTTTGCTAAAGCATATAGTTAGGGCTGGACCAGGTGACCCTGAATCCTCCCTTAGTTATGCTGCAATAGACATAGGCTGCAGGGGATTCCCATGATGCATTGAGTTTTTCCTTTCCAGTCACCTTTCTCACTCACTATGTATTAACAGACCTCTCTGCATTGAATCATATCTGTTATTAACCTCTGTCTCTCTTCCACAGCATGTCTTTTTTCTTATCTTCCTTCTCTCACCCCAACCGGTCGCAGCAGATGGCCGCCCCTCCCTGAGCCTGGTTCTGCCGGAGGTTTCTTCCTGTTAAAAGGGAGTTTTTCCTTCCCACTGTTGCCAAAGTGCTTGCTCATAGGGGGTCATATGATTGTTGGGTTTTTCTCTGTATCTATGAAGCGCCTTGAGGCGACTTATGTTGTGATTTGGCGCTATATAAATAAAATTGAATTGAATTGAATTATTATTCCTTGTAATGCTTTAAGGGCATTTCCTGATCATACACATACTTTTACTGCTGTGACATTTTTATAGGCTTTAAGAAATTGTAGGAGTTTTATATATCCTTCTCAATTAGTGTTCAAGGTGCTTTATAAAGGAATGTTGAGGAAAGTACTTTTTCATACATCACTTTGCTTCCAGATCCAAATTAGCAGAAATTTGGATTTCTGCTATATCGACCTTGCTCATGCTGCAACTGATGGAATGAGGGGTAGGACAGTGGCATGTTGGTTAGCACTGCTACCCTACAGCAAGAAGGTCCTGGGGTCAAATCCATTATCCTGCCTTTCTGTGTGGAGTTTGGCTCTTCTCTCCTGTGTCTGCATGGGTTCTCCGGCTTCCTCCTACAGTCCAAAAACATGCAGTTAGTGGGGTTAGGTTAACTGGTGATTCTAAACTGCCCATAAGTGTAAATAGTTATCTGTCTCCATGTGTTAGCCTGGTAACCTGTCCCAGAACCCTGCCTCTTGCCCTATGGCAACTAGGTTAAAATACTGCATATGACATTTACAGTGATTTCTGTATACTGTATTGGGATAAGGTCAAACTCATAGGAAAAGAAACAACAATACACTCTCAGATACTGTTTTATAATTTTTAGTTTTGGCTGACTGTGCTCACAATCTAAAAAGTTCAAGGAAAAATAAATGAAAGTAAATAGTGTTAAAGCAAACAACCTTTATTATTCAAGTAGGTAATTCTCACATAGATGTACAACTTTTAATTTAAACTGAAAAAAAACCCCGTCTTAAATAACTGTGAGACCAGATGGTATTTCTAATCTTCCCTGGCCTAAAAACCTTACAATTACAACTATGTAGATTACTCTTAGCCCGTTTTATCGCCTAGCCTGTAGTTGCTCGTTATCGCCGATAGACGGCGCCCTCCAGTCGCCCTTAGGTCGGTCTGTCGGTCGGCGTCCATCCAGCGGTGGCGGCAGCAGCGGCAAAGTAGGCGGACCGGGTGAGAGACTACACATGAGCAGCTCAGTGGCTGACGGAGAATCCGGTGTACGCGCTATAGTACGGAGGCTTCAGCTGGCAGCTGTTTCACATTTTTATGGCACGTGAACACGGTACCGCCCTCACCAACATCTGGAGCTCGCGCTTAACAGGGAGACCACTCTTCCTTTTGGCCGCGTGATGAGGCAGGTAGAACTTATGTAGGGCAGTGAGCGTTTCACTGGCGGGGACCCGTCTGTGCTGTACTCGGCAGAAGGAACCGGCCTCATCTTGAAGGTAGGTGGGAATAACGTCGCCTGTCATAGCGGACATCGTCGCTGCTCAATGAATACACACCGTGTAGTATTTATAAGGCGGGAGCTGAGCTGTCAGCATCTCACTCGTGGTGCAGGTACGCTGTGTTTTAACTGCTTTGCAGCACACGGGCTCTCTGGGTGGGGTCTCCCGAGGCTCACACCAAACACCCATTGGTGGCACTGTGCGTTCATGCTTGTTGTGTGTGTGTGTGTGTACTAAGGGAGTTTAAGCCTTGTGAATTAAAACGCCACGCTGTTGTGTAGCAAATGTGTGTGACACATACCTTGGTCTGTCAAATGGGTGGAAGTCCAAGACATAAGGACCATTAGCGGGTCTAATGAGGTATGAAAGAGAGGAAGGGAAAGTCAGAATAAGGCAGACCTTGTTACCCACTGGCAAAATATCTCTGTATGTTGTCTACTCTTAAATGATATAGTAAGTCAAGGCAGGGTTGGATGATTCACACACACAAACAGACACACATGCTAGGGCACTTGCAGGTTTTTAAGAGTGATGAATTGATTTCAGAGTGCTGCAGGCTCGTCTGTTGCTGAGATGAAGGGGACTGCTAGAGTTGCTGGCTGCGCATGAATCCCACAGAGACAATTAAACCACTGACCCGTGTCATCAAGGATTTGTTTTGCCTTCCTGTTCGGAAACGTGGTAGGGAGCTGAATTTTTGGGCCAGATGGCAGGAGCATACACTTGCACACACACTTGTAAAGCGCGCGCGCACACACACACACACACACACACACACACACACACACACACACACACACACACACACACACACACACACACACACATCACCTGGCGCAGCTGTAAAAAACTCCCTACTGAGGGACACAGCAGTTTTGGTCAGGGTTAAAACCTGCGATCTCAGTGATGGCTTAATGGAGTGTGGCAAAAACAAATTCATTGCTCAGCTGTCACAAACACATGTTTCGTTAAGATTCTGTTCTTTCAGCTGTAACTGTGTTGTGTTGTATGTTAGTAGTACCTGATGTTACTAATAAGACAGGATGCAGGATGCTCTTTATTTAGGAGGGAAATGGATCTGGCAGTGAATTTGGACATACAATGAAGTATTTTATGAAAAATGTCTAGATTTATACCACTTCTAAACAAGTAAACCTGCTGTTTTCTATGATTTTCTGAACTGTTGATACAAGGCAGGCTGGATTGATGCTGCTGTGTTGTTTACACCAAACTCTGACACTACCATCCGAGTGCTGCAGCAGAAATCGTGACTTATCAGACCAACCAACGCTTTTTCAGGCATAACTTGCCCAATTATTGTGAATCTTATCCTCAGTTTTCCATTCTTAGCTGACAGGAGTGACATCTGGTGTGGTCTTCCGCTGCTGTAGCCCATCTACTTTAAGGTTCAGCATTTTGCGTGTTCAGAGATGCTCTTCTGCATGCCTCAGGTTAAAAGAGTGGTTATCTGACTTCCTGCTGTCTTCCTGTGAGCTCTGACCTCTGACATCAACAAGGCTGCTCACTGGATATTTTCACTTTTTCAGGCCATCATTGGTTCGATGGTTGTGCAGGAAAACCCCCGAAAGATCAGCAGTTTCTGAAATACTCAGACCGTCTGGCACTAAAGCCAACTAACTACCCTTCCTTCTCAATTCTTATGTTCAGTTTGAACTTCAGCTGGTCGTCTTGACCAAGTACGCCTTAATGCACTGAGATGGTGGCTTGTGATTGGCTGCTTGGATGTTTGAGTTGAACAGGCATACCAAAGAGAGTGGTTGGAGATTGTACATATCATTTGATCTTTAAAATATAATAATCAAAACAAACTAACATTTCTAAAGCGAAAAACATTCAATTTCTCACGTTAAAGGAAATATATGTGGGTGATTTTAAACTTTGCTTTAAATTGCTGTTATTACAGATCCTTTCATCACTCTACAACTCTGTTATAAATACACGTGGAAAAGCAGCTCATGGTGTCATAAATCACCTCTGCTGTGAAGTCCTGATTATGATGGTGGCCCTAAATTAGAACTGAAAGCGCCTAATATAACCTGATGACAAAAGTACGACAGCACACATGCACCCACAGCGCTAAACAGGAAGCCAACAGCATAACCTAGATGTAAAACGGTAGGCATCTGTAAAGCATGAAGACATTTTGCAGGTGTGTCTTTGTCTCTTGCCTGGGCGCACTGAGGTTGCCGCATCGAGCTTGTTTGAACAAGTTAGACATAAAAGCGACGGTGACAATAGCAGGTTTATTTCTGGGCCGCTGCTCTCACAAGTGAAATGCACCTTCATGTTTATACTGAGCCCTCTCCGCTGGGTGCACCAGGGTGGAAAACTGCGTTGGTTTTACAGGAGCCCTCAAGCATTTTCTACAACTCATTTTTCATGGCAGCTTGCCCAGGAGTGGATCATCTCTAGTGCCTACAAGCCATACTCTACATTTTTCATGTGATTTATGCAACTACTTGTTATCGGGCAACTAGTTCATTCATGTAGGATATGTCGGTAAATAGGTTTGCGCAAATTTGAATGGGAGGTGTCGTGGTTCCTTTGGTCGTCCGTTTTTTAAAAGGCATTTTTTCTAAAGGCGTGTTTTTACAAAAGGAGGTCAAATTGATCAAATAACTGCAAAAGAAGCAACATTCTCCCCAGCCTTAGTGGCAATTTCAGTTTAGAAGTATTTAAACAATGGTATACTGATGCTAAACTAACTCAGTGAAAGTGTAATCTTTGATGACTCCTAAACATCTCAAGAAACCCTCCAACTAAATGGTTGTGTTGGCGATTTGTGCCTGTCATTTCAGCTGGCTGCTGCAGGCATCCCTGGCCAGTCTGCAGTCTAAGTGGCAGACACACACAAACTCTTGACTTCTGATCAACAGTGGAGTTCTGGCTGGTGGGGACCCACACCCAGTTTCACACCTTGGCTCAGGCGATTAGAGGATCATCAGGGGGTCCTTTTGTCCCTCTGTGGGAGCAACTTAAAGAAGTCCAGACGCTTTTCTTTGCAAGCTCCTTTGACAGTGGAGTTCAAGCTTTGTCTTGGCTGCTTTTATGTTTTGCTTTCACTTGTGGTTTGGTTAGGGTTCGGCACAAAACCTATTTGGTTATAGTTCAGGAAAACCCCCAGTTTGGGTTAACTACATGCAGTTTTTTCCACACAACATAAAAAGAAAAAGCTGAGAAAAAGCAAAATATCAACAAAAATTGAATCAATACGTTTTTGAGTTTTGGCAGCTTGAATTTTCTTGTTCATCTACTTAAAATATTCCCGTGAGGTTAATCCATTCTTGTTTTTCCAGACTTATGATTGGCAGTGGGAGTGCACTAGGCTTTGACCTTTGGGTTTGTGTTTGCTCCTAGTTGCTGACAATATATGATGCAGTATTGTCACAATGCCTCACTCACGATACAATATTATTGAGATTTTTAACATTTTGCAATATGCTGAGTTTTGGAATATCTGTTCCATCTAGTGATTCATCCATTTTCTTCTACTCTCCAATTCAGAGTATCGTAGGGCTGGAGCCTATCCCACCTGTCTGTTTTATCCAATGAGATAAAGTTATGTCACATCTGTTATTTTTTTTCTCCAAAATGAGGTGATTAAGTATTCCAACACTGTCACTAAAACCTGACGTAAATGTTGCCACATGCTGGAGTCAGTGTGTTATCAGATATCTGCAATTGAATAAGGTCAAGTTTGGTAGTTACATGCAGTCTGTTTCTGATAATACAGTAATTAACTGGGATAAACTGTCAAAAATCGCACATCTGTTGCTGTTTACGTAGACAGACATTCACATTTTCACACAGCAAACTTCCCGTTCTACAGGAATATAACCAGAATACAACCAGCTGGCCGGCTGTTGCAAATTTTATGTTTCTAATACTAGCTTTTTAACATTAAATTTTATTGTTAAGCCCATCAGTATAGTGCAATTATGTGAACAAGAAAGTTCAAGTTGTCAGAACTCTTGTCTAAATGTGTGTATATTTGTAAAATCAACAAAAACTATCACGAGTTGAGAAAACTCAAAAAGCTTTTGAATCGTACTGTCACAATATTTAGATTTTTTAAATAGTTAAGCTTTCTCAGCTTTGCACATAGAATCACAAGTGCACTCTGCAGTGCTTTTTAGATATTCTTTATCCAATCACAATTGTTGTACTAATATTGAATATTGTGTCATCCCCTGACTCTTATTTTGAAAGTTGAGTTGCTGCTAACCAGCTTCTCCGTGCCTTTTCTGTCATTTTTGACTTGGCTGCTGTTGTGGTAGTTCTTCATATTGTTCAGCTGCTTCTCCAGAAGCTCTTTTGTGTTGATGCAGTATCTTTACTCCACTGTCATGGAGATCAGCTAACAGATGGAAGGCCCTTTTAGGGAGAACCTTGAGTGTGTGCTGCTACGTCAGGCTCATGTTAGCTGCAGAGCAGAACAAGGTTTACTTTAAAAAGGTAGACTTAAAGTCTCCTCTCTCTGTGCCGGGGCAGCTGACGATCTCTGTTATTCTTGTGCACTTCCGTTTGTGTGCCTGCACGTGCACATGCAATTGCATACTGGCACTAACACTTGCCTCCATTGCCTTTCCTGCCCTTCCAGGATGCTGTTACATCTAAAAATGACAACAGCACAGCACATGATTTACATGCACGTGTACCACACAAATTACCTATGTGTTTTTCTGGAAGAGGAAAGTCTGAGGCATCAGCAGATTAGCTCAAATTCTGTAGTGAAGCCAGGTAAAAGGTGTGAATCCTCTAGCCATCTTTAACAAGTCCAACATGAGTTAACCCATACTTTTGGGTAGATAGTGTACACAGAGGAGTTGTCTGATTGTTTGGTAACTGTCTGGTGCTGGCTGCATAAAAAAGTTTGTTTTTACAGTCAGAGTGTGCAGAGGGGCAGCAGACCGCGGCTGCCTTTCATGGCTGGCAACAAATTCAGACCTTCAGCTGCAGCATGAATGATTAACAGT